CCCCCTTTCGCCACCGTTTTCACCAAATCCAAATCTCAAGCACGACCTCTTTCCGGTCACGCCTTCCCTTTCGTCCACCGCGGAGCCAGATCCTCGATGTTACCCTCACTTCACCAGTTGCCTTCGGGTTTTGTCGCCCTCTCCGGCCCCGTCGATGGCCGTTGTTATCCCACCTTCTTGAAACCCCAGTTGAGGTAGTCTGATTTGCCGCCCTGTCACCCCTCAGCTTCTGCGATAGCCACCTCGACTACGCTGGCGCCTTGTGACACACTTCGGCTTCTGCGATGGCTGTCTCCACTCCAACTGCGCCGGGATCGACCGTCCTGTTGCCCACGTGTCGCGGGCCTGGCGGTCGCGGAGTCTTGCGTGGGACCCGTTGACCAGGGTCAGGCCACTCACCACGTCAGCCGGTGGCGTGGCGTGGCCTAGCGCCGTCGTTCACCGCGCGTGCGTTAAGCGCCGCTCCTCCTTCCCATTGAATTTCACAGAGTAAGGCAGGAACACTTTTCTCACTTTTCTCCCAACTCAATCGCCTCCATCTCCTACATCTCCATACGTCGTCTGCATCATCGCTGTCCGTACGTCGTCGGCATTGTAGTACATGTCCGTACCCTCTCTTGACCTGACAGTGTTCGCTTACGGATGCTACAGACGCTAAGTTAATCCTCAGGGATAGACAGGCTATTCCTATTAGTCGAAGCTGTCGCATGGATCCTAGATTCCTAGGTAAGTTAACCCTCGACTACTGTGCGTTTCACAAAGCCTCCCCCACCCTCACACAACCGCCTCCTCTCTCTGTCTGGGCCCTCCACCTTTCCTTCATTGGGTCTACAGGTGGGTCGCGTCAGGCTTTACTCTTGACGTCACTTTCTTCGGTGCAACACGGGCGCCTTCAGCTCGTCACTGCGCGCCGATTGCAGGGAACGGCGACCTTGTCCCTGCACGCCGTGTGAGAAGACCGCAGGCATATCCATTAGCCCAGGCTGGCTGAAAAGACTCAGGGCCTGAAAGGCCCTGTTTTAGACATAGGGCCTGCAGGCCCTCGTTTTCAGGCTTTCAGGCTGAAACGACACGGGCCCTGTAAGCCCTTGTTTCTAAGCTTTTAGGCTGAGACTGCGGGACGGGCCCTGCAGGCCCGTGTGGCTGCGCAGTATGCCACATTCGGATAACACCCATCGATTATCGGTGGGCTATTAGAAACGGGCAAAGGGTCACCTCTCTCTCTCTCTCTCTCTCTCTCTCTCTCTCTCTCTCTCTCTCTCTCTCTCTCTCTCTCTCTCTCTCTCTCTCTCTCGGGTTATACCCATTGAGATCTAAGGAGGTCCAAGGGTGTGAGGTGGGAAACCCCTTCATGGCGACCCAGGCTTCTCATGGTTACTTGCTAGTGTGATGGGCTTGGGATTGTTCATTTTATTTTTCGTTTGTGGCTGATATTGCCTGGCTTTAAATTAGGTGTTAGCTGGCGCGCAATGAACAAACCGGCGGAAAATCCCCCAGAGACATACTGCACCGCCGATCTGCGCGAGTGGACTGCCCTCCTATACTTGCGACACCTGCATCAGTGCGCAGTGGACCATAGAATGACCCCTGCGGCTGATGCCGCATAAGGGTTAGAATGTGTGGAACCACTGTGAGATAACAGACGTAAACACCTTTACATGAAGTGGAGACAAGGTCAGCTGAAGACCACTCTGAACAGCCTTCCACAAGCTTACGTGCCAACAAGGGCAACAGGGAAGAGCAAATGTCACTTGATTGATTGGGACACGGGTCACACTGGTAGGTAAGCAGAGGAGAATCAAAATACATACTTGCTTCTGGCTGACAAGCCAATCTCCCCATTCTTCTTCTAGAGCAACCACCTGCAGTTGCACGTGAAACATGACCACAAAGTTTCAAGCCGTCAAGGTATCAGATGTCCCACCTTATACCTTTCAAAAAATGTGTCTTTGGACAGTCAAGAGAGGGGGATGCCAAAGTTCCTTGGACAAAACCGCAGAATGGATTTTCGCATTAGGCTCAATGTACTTAACAAGCAAGTAGTGACATAGTCATGTACACATACAAGATGGGGCAGTGCAGCTTTGCCCGCATGACATAGTAGGTCAGTGACTCAGTGTCTAAGTCTCACTCACAAACACGGAACATTGGGTGCAGGTGTGATGGGATGCTTTGTTTCCTCTACTGTTGCCAGTTGAAGGTAAGCCATATGCCCCTAGTGTTACATGCTGAGAGCCTACACACGGGCCCCTCACGGGACCCGAGGTTGGAATAGGGCCCCCAGGTCGCGTCACYGCAACCTGAAGGCCCTATGGCATTTTTACTTGGGCCTGCATCAGAAAAACGCCAGCTTTAGAGTATTTTTATATTCTTTTATTTATTTAATTGCTGTTGTTTTTCTAACGTGTGTGYTGTTGTCCGTTTTGTGGCCAGGTACACGTTCTAGGGCCAGRACCTGATTCAGGCCCAGAGGCTGAGCCTCCAAAAAYGTTTGGACCGTTTKTTTGTTTTCGGACAGATTTTGGACCATKCGGACCTGGACCGACGTTCAGGCCCGATGCATTBGCATAGGCCCTGAATCGGACCAGGTACCGAACAGGCCAGCCCTGGGCAGGGCCTGGACGTCCGGTAGGGACCCAGGCAGGCCGTTTTAGGCCAAGGGCTGAACCAGTTTC